GGGAAAACCGAGACCTTAACCATTTGGCCATTTCATAGAAGTTACTTTTCCCTGTTTGTATTAAGAAGATAACAAAATCATTAACTCTACTGTGCAGGATGTTTCTGCGTATGCTTCTTGACTAAAACGCTAGGATGGTGCATCACGTAGCAAAATACACATACAAAGAAACAATGGTCGTCAACATCAAATGTTCTCCCTGACAGCTCCTCATTTTGTAGCTTTGAATGCGCGCATTAATACGGGCAAGTCCCTGGACCACGTCTGGACACCAGTCTAGCTACACGCATGAACTCTTTCATAAAATTGTGTTAATAACACGCCATTTTTATCTTTTTTTTTGGAGGGGAGGGCTGTTTCTTTCGTTTTCTTTACTTATACAAAATAACAACCGAAGGTTGAATCAGGACCCCAATAGTTCTGCTAAATAACATGTTATGTGATGTGGTGGATCTGATCTGTGGTGTACTTCTTCAGACACATTTCCCTGCCTTGTGAATGGTGCCTCTTGCAGGAAATTCCTTCTCTATAAAGATGTAGTTGAAAAGTGGGCACTTTTCCTGTCAAGTTATAATTCATTTTTAAAAATGTGGACCTTTAACTTGTCGTATTTTCAGTTGTTTGAAATGTTAACGTGAATACATGAGTGCACTTCTTCCTATCAATACTATCTTGCATCGAGGGTTTCACCAGGGGTAGCATTACAGTTGTGCAAATGAATATGGAAGTTCTCGTAGCCTTAACATAAAAAAGGCAATAAAACACCCTTCGAAAATCCTGAAACAAAGTTGACAGTAATGTTAAGTTAGACAGAAAGGTGCTCTTTGACGGTTTAAATTAAGAGAAATTGTTGTAGCTATCCTTTAAATAAGAAGTTGCAAATTCAGATTGTCAAAATGCAACTTGATGCAAGATAGATTGTCACTGAATATTCAAATTTTATAAATCACATGATCACGTCATCGTTCATGCCATTTCATGACAGTCTAGTCTGAGTACAAGCCTGTGTTGGAGCAAAGGTTTTGATTCTCAAGGCCAAGACTTTGACCCACAATCCTTGCGTCCAAGACTTAACCCTGAAGGTCAAGGCCCTGCAGTGTAAAGTTACCCTTACGCCTATAAAACATGTCACATCATATCTTGACTTAAATATCGTCGGACTGGCAGTTGTTCTCAATGCCACCCTATTTGTTATCTTATTACAGTGACATAAAGTCGTCGCTTGTCCTGATGCTATGTTACTGTTATACAGTATCTGTATGATGACGTCTTGTCGTGCAGTTGCATCGTATTATCCTGCCGTCGTGTGGCACTTTCGTGTCCGATCGAGCTTTGCGTCATGCCGCTTGTTTGCACGTTGC